TACTGTTGCCCGTACTATTCATACGTAATGTACTAAACGGTTATGCGTTACACATTACAAATATTCCGACACAGTGGCCATATAGCGTGTGGACTGCGAAATCACGGCGTTGACCAACGGGCCTCTGCTCTGCTCTCCGTTCCATTTTCGCAAAACGACGCGTATCGGGCAACTAATACTTTGCGGCCTAACAGTAAATCATCAGCTTATAAATAATTCATCGAACCAAGCGATTGGCTTCCATCTTTCTCTCTCGTTCTCACTTCGTATATAGCGTTATTCCGATACCTTGCGTCTTTATCAGCCAACGGAGTGCTCAACGTATATGGGTCATCCTGTGATAGCTGAGAAATGCAGTCGGGTCTGTGGGTGGATGAGTTTTCACGCGATCATTGAAGGGCTTTTTAGGAAGGATGTACACAAGCTTGACAGTAGAGATACGTAGTGCTACGAGGACGAAAGGTTTTTCAATATATTTGAGCTTGGAAATGGGTTTGATGATGCTTAGGATTTTAGAAGCCAATATTTACTTTCTGGTTTGTTTTTTAGACATATCATTTTATCGATAATGGGGTTATCGATATGGGATTTTCTTGCGACTGAGCTATTGATGTTTGTAATTTATTTGGCAATGTTTTACATGAAGCTTATCATTTAGACATAAAATTTCTTTAGTTATCTGAGATTAGGTCAAGATGAGAAATTATTTTGTTTTATTGCACAATTGACGATAAAAACAAAAAGCCAAAATTATCATTTTATTGTAGCTGGAATTCAGCGACTAGATTATTCAGTTCGTAAGGTGCGTATTTCTATGATTCTTAAAATGAACGAAATTTGAATAACGGGTTTATTAGGCCTTGAGTACGGAAATCGGTCGCGATATTCGAAAATTAAGTTGTGAAGACTTTTTTCCTTGTTAACGTGATCAGGTTATGGGTATACTGTAATTAAACTATTTTTCGAAGAACGAAACAACTGTAATTATCGTCAAATTGCTTTGAACACACGGAGAAACAGTTTGTTTCTTGAAGAGAAATTTACAGTTATTATGACTAGGTAAGGCTGCTAAATAATACTTGATTTTCGGAAAAAAAAATTAGAAGTATTTTTCAGTTAAAAGATGTCTCATAGAATTCTCATATAAAAGGTTTATTTACATCTAAACTTATCTGTTACTATAATAAATGTGTAGAAGAAAAAACTTCGAATTTACAATAAGTGATTATTATTAAAAGCACAAGAAATAAATTATTCATCAATAAGTAACAAAATTTAGGGATGACTTCTACCGTCTAAATATTTAAGACGTAATTTACGGTCTTACCACTAACCAGCTGTTACTACTTCCGTCTAACGCGTGATCTACTTGTATTGACTACTTGTTATTTTGTATGGGTAAACAGATGTGGTATTTAAGATTAATTTGAATAATAATTTATTCTTTTGATTTAACTTGAGAAAATCTTGAACGATTTCATCTGTCTTTGAAGAAAAATGCGACACACTTTAAATCCTGACAAATGAACGATTACTTAGTGCGAAAGAGGAAATTAGGTGAAATCATTGATAACATCAATCTAGGACTGCAAGTAGCAGGATTTTAAATAACATGTAAGTGTTGTTTTTTTACAAATCACTAGATTTTTAACATTACAATTTTCAGTACCGTAAAGTTGTTAATAAAATTAAATAAAAGAATAAGTGATAAATTCTTTGATAGACGAATTAATCAAAGCAGTTACTTCTTGTCTGATACTAATTCCTGAAGCAATTAAATAAAGAAGAAAATATCGATATATTCACTTAGTTTGAAAATGTAGACACACCTATATATATGGCTGTATTATTGCTAACCAATGATATAAATTTATTAAAATTTCAACTCGAAGTCAGCTATAAAATTGTTTGTTTTAATTACTTGTGTGAATTTCAATCGTTGTAAAGTATACATTTTTTATATATTTTTCGAAGGTAAGATTGCCTCGATTTCATTGCATTATTTATAAACGAAAATCCCATTTTTCACCAGCATTCACTCAACCCAGTTGTTAGTGAATGAAACGAAAAATATATGAAATGTTGCGTATGAGCGAGAGTACAAGTGCACAGACGGCAAGATCAGATAAACACAGGTGCATAAGCAAAGACTCGTGAATTTCCGGTCCATTGCTGCTAACAATAAATAGACAGAGTGGCCAGACAACTTTTTATATTAAATGCACGCATTATATGTATATTTCTCGTACATTGGCCAAGAAGAGGCCACTTTGCACTTTTTCGAGTATTTTAAGCTACGGTTTGCAGTGAACAGAAAATAGCTAATGATTTTATTTTTTGTGCAGTGAGACAGCCCGATATTTAATCTTTGGATGCATGAAAAGGCCTCGCCTAGAAAAACGAGGTACTGTAAAGAGAGATTACACGGCCATTCGTTTTGCTTTCGTTTTCTTGTCTGCGTGTGTGAGTGCGTACTCTTAGACATACCGGTAATACTGCTCGGGGAAAGAAAAAAAAAAAATGATAAAAAATTCTGCTCACGGAGCACGTGTGTATCGAATGCTGTCGTTCCTCAGGCGTTTTGTCGAAAGTTCGGTGCTTTATGCAAGAGATAATTTATTTTAAAAAACAGCCATGGCCTTGAATAATTTTGCTTAAAAAAAAAGATTCGTATCTTTTACGTGGTAAATGAAAAGATGCAGCATCGCATGACAAAGTTTGAGTAAATTTTTCTCAAAGTGAAAGCGTTTTTTTAAATAATATCGTCACCAAGTGCTTTAAACTTTCATTTAACGAAGAACATATTGTATTGCCGATGTATCCTTGAAAACATTACGTATTGTACGTATTTTACCTGCTTTAAGAACAATATAAAAAAAAAAATTTTAAGTAGATTGTTCATTTTTTTATGGTTTAAAAGTTCTTTAAATCATAAACTGATTAAAAAGTACACGATAATCTTGAAAATAAATTAAAAACAAGCATAATCTAAACGAAAAAGATTATAACATACCTTTACAGATGTAGAAAAAGCTATTGAAAAAACGAATTGTTTGTGTATGCTCTCTATTTTTACTTCAAAAACGTATCGTTTTAATTTTTGGTTGAGAATTTGTTTTATTTATGTTATCAGTACAAAGAAGACAAGCGATATTTTAACAATGAATAACTGACCTTTGAAAAAGGTTAAATTATTATTTTCTAAACTTGTTTTTGAAACTCACATAATTTTTAAAGCTTCATAATTTGGTCTCTAATAAATTTATGTATGAGAAAAATCAACACGTTTTTCAACTGATTGGATTACAACTGCTGAAGAGGAATAGAAATGGATTTTCTAATTCGTTTTTGTTTATACCCATCATAAAAATAATAGATAACAAATTTCTAAACATACTTCAAACACCTCAGTGGAAATATCAAAGAGAAACAGAACGAATTTTTCTAATGTTAGTCTATTGAAAAAAAACCGGTCAACTCTCTGCAAAAAAATCCTTTAGGACTCGAAATGGTATCCATCCGACCATGCAGTTTCAACAACCCAGATTTTTCAATCTAAAATTACCTAAAGTCACTATCAAAAATCATTCGTAAACTATCATGGAATCCTTCAAAACTCAAAATCGCAGATAAAAAAAAATCTAGTCGCCGCTCCACGAAAATTCATTAAGAGTCACACCGTTCAGTCTGTGCAGCCCAGCGGGATCAAGAGGCCCAATCATCCTCCTTCTTCCTAACCCTCTGGAATTTGAATGCACACGCACGCAAACTGCATGCATACTCACCCAAGTATGCTCGTATACTTACTCTTATTGCCTTTGGATAAACTGCAGCGAAGATGAGTGCGCAAAAGAAAGACGGAGAGAGAGAGAGAAGAGTAAAAAAAAGGAAAGGAGTCATCATATGTACACACACACACACAACCTGCGGCGCTGTACAGGTGTTACACCGCCGCTGCAGAGTAAATCATTGAGAAGACCCATAAGGCCCTCGGGACACCTATACACCGGCTGCTTACCCCTTCTCTCTCTTATCGCCTGCGTTCTTCAACTCTCGTAATATCGGCGAGTTTATACAGCTTTCCCTACAGATATCTCTTTTGAATACGCGCTCACACACACACACACACGTACACATCCCAGTGGCGTGCATACATGCATAATCGCATTCATTTTCTCTCTGCGTCCCGGCAAGGCCTCGCGATCCTTTCTCTCGCTCGCTCGGCTCCGTAATAAGCCATACCTACACACAAACACACACATATACAAAACCGATTCCTCTCTCTCTCTCTCTCTGTCTTTTCTCGCTGCCGCGTTCCCCTTTCTCGAGTAGTAGGCAGGTAGGTAGGTGTATATCTCCTCCTGCGGCTCCCTCCGCGCGTATACCGGTCCCCGCTGCCTCGGCGCGAGAGATTCTCAAGCATCGGCAGCAACTTTGGGTCCCCACCCGAGTAGCTCCTCGGCCGATATCGTACTACGCGGCCGCCTCGGCTCTACTGCACGCGCTCCGTGGAAAACAGTTACGGACGAGCTCCTCACGCTCCGGGACACTTATATTCTCTCCGCGGCTCCTTCGAGTGTGCTATTTCGTTCCTTCCTTCCTTCCTTCCTTCCTTCCTTCCTCTCTCTTTTTCTCTCTATCTCTATCTCTTTTTGTCCGTGGGTGTGTGTCAGTGTCTCCGAGTTAAACACCATTCGGTATACATTCGTTGTATCACATACGTGCTGCAGTACAGAGTGCGCGTCGCGCCGAGGCGCATTCCATACATATATATATAGGATACAAGCATATGTGCGATCGGCCTGCTCGTCGATCTGGTCGCCTAAGTATACCGATCGTCGTTGTTGATTTTTTGTTTTGTTTTGTGAAGATTCGACGTGATAATATTTAGTACTCGCTCTACCCTTGAGTTGGCTCAATAACCGGCGTGAAACGAGTGCCAAAGTACATGCACGTGAGAGGACGCGTTGCAGCTGCCAATTATCCCATTCGCCGGGGAAACGGAGTAAAGTTGGAAGCTCCGCTCTTGGGACGTAAGTGCAATATTCCATCGCTCCCCTCCCCCCCGTTATCGTTGGCGTGCATGCCTGGCGCCGGCAGTAAACCGAGCCCTTTAAGGGCAGTATACTTAAGGAGGTGTGTTGTATGTACACGTATACTCGCGCGTGATGTGCACCTGTTGGCGTGACGTTGCCTTGGTGATGGTGAGAGAGATATTAGGCTCAGCTGGTGGTGCCATATAAACAGGTGTGTATTTCCAGTGCGTTAATCCCAAAGTTGCATTGGAATTTGAAAAGTAGGCGTGCGGGATGTGCTTTAGGGTTTCGAAGGTAGAGGTTTAGGATGCCCGTGTTTTGATCTGTTGTAAGAACTGTCGAGGAAGTCAGATTTTTTTGTCAAATCTTTAATAAATTTCGAGGTAGGAATGATCGAACTGATGGGTAGATAAAGTTTGTAAATACCTTACATTAATGAGTTTATTGCTTTGTGGTGTGAGCACTCGCGGAAATATTTTTATGGAGAAATACCAAGTAAATGATGTTTGGTTCGACTGTTAAGATATGTAGAGATTCCTCGGCAATAATATAGCTGGATAACGGAGTAAGGTTAAATTTTATGTACAGTAAAATTCAAACGGTTCGAGCGATTGTGAGGAAGATGAATCAATATTAGCATGAAAAGCAAAGAGGAACGATATAAATTCCAAGGGAGCATGTTTATCCCCAACTTTCTACTTACTTCGCATTAACAAATGCCCAAAGTATAATAGTCCATAAAAGTTTATTAACGTGACCGGCGTTTGCTTGCTTTGTAAAATGAACTCCACGACGGAAGAGATATGGACGTAAATTTCAATCGAGTTCTCGAAAGTTCTCAGCAGAGCCTTCCCTGATCCTTGGAATCTTAAAAAGAAGACTCGGCCCATATCAACGTGGGCTCGCTGTTGCTGAAAACTTTGTTGCTCAAGAGCTGGTTACGATAGATGACCCTCTCGTGTTCTTTCTCGTGCGCAGTATATTTTTGTTCGTGATTGTTCAAGTTTGTCTTTACAGCTGATTCCCTCTGAAAGAAAAAAATATACTAGTACCTGCTTTGATTGGGCACTGATTGTTTTTTGCGAGAGAGGAGCATTAGGTATTTACTTTGTAGGTACTCTAGAGCTAAAAAAATCGTGACAAATTATAATAATAAAAAGATTATATTTTAATATTTTATTTTTTAACGTAGTTTAGTACAAGGAATTTGATACGAAACCTAACAGAGAAGTTTTTAAAAATCATGTATTATGTGTAAAAAAAAAAAAATTTTATTGTAACTTGCAGATAAAACTTTATTAACATAATTTTTATAAGATTTTAATAGTGGTTATTCAGTGAAGGATGAAAAATTATGGGTAAGAAAGTTCTGAAATATTAGATGAACTGGAGCTCGTGTGGTTTTTCACATGAAACGTGCATGACATTAATTAATTACTGTTGCTTATGCACTTGATTAACACGTTATCTACTAAATAGATTCCTTACTCACTTCCAAAGTGGATAAATATACATATGTTCACGGGTAGCTTTGGCAGCAAGTAAAATTTCAATTTTAATTTTGAGCTCACTCGTACCCAAATTTTAATTTAAAGGACAATCACGTTGTAACATGATTTTAAGTATTTTTTAATTACGCAAATTAAAAATGACCTTAACTTTTATACATTAAAATATTACTAACTTCGGTACAATTTAATTTTTAACAGGTTATTGGGTAGTTCAAGCATTTGATAATTTAAAAATACAATGGACATGGCTATTCGTTAAAAAAAAATATTATATTTATTTTTATGTCTGAATTTTAGTGTAAACTATTCGTAAAAAATTCCACCCAAAATTGGTTAGTAGTATTAAAATTACTTTTAACCTTCTATTCCTGTGTATATATGCTTACCTATAAATTTGAAACAATTTTTAAGATTCTATCAAAAAATGCGTGTAAAAAGCTGTCAGCTCATGAATAGGGAGGGAGAGAATTAGAGAGGAAGAGTAAGAAAGAAGAAATTTCTGAAAAACGCCTTCGCGTCTGCATCACGTATACTCTGATCCTTAAAAACGTGTTTATTTCCTTCTAAGGAAAGAGAAAATGTACTTACTTCCTCTTTACACACAAATACACGTATATGTAAGTACGCGTATATATATACAAAATATAATGCGCATCTTGTCTCTTATTGCACGCTTAAATCTGTATAATGTGTTTATACGGGAGTTTATGTAGAGAATGGGTAGAGGGCAAGGTGGGTCGTGCCAAGGGAAAACGAGGCTGTGCTTATCTCCAACAACTGCGGCCTATAATACCCATACATGTAGGTCTCGCACTCACTCTCTTTTTCTCTTCCACGGACTTTATAGTATGGGTACTTGGGAGAGACCAAAGTTTTCCCTCTTAATAAATGCAATACGGCACAGCTGTTGCGCCTTGTGTTCATACACTTTATTGTGGGTATTGGAATTACACCCACGCGGCTAATATTTTTCAACGTAAGTTTTCAATCAGTTTAATGTGTAAGGTGAGAGAACGAACTTATCGCCTTGAGCATCGGCAAGATCAATGAGTCTTCAATCTAGGTTTGTGAAAATTTTGTGACTGTGAAATTATATGGAGAGTATACTGTTTATGTAAGCACAGGTTTTTTCCCAAATTTTTTAAAAGCTTTGAAGTCTTTGAATTAATTTTGTATACATATGCTCTTCATGGAATCATATAATTTTTATAACTCATTATTTTATCTCAAACTATGCCTTTCATTCCTTCATTGATTACATTCATAAAATGTAGTTAAAAAATTATAATTATTCAAATAAAGTTTTGTAGACTAAAAAAAAAAAAAATTACTCCAACAACATTATTTCATTTTTAAGTAATTTTGAAAGGAATAATATTCAACTAATAATTTATAAAATAATGGGTGTTTATACAAAATTTATTAATTTAAATGTTTTTTTTTCTTTCATTTGGATTAAAAAAAAATAAGTCAATATTATCAAACTAAAAAAAATAGTTGAAAGCTATTTATTCATACAAAAACATAATTATTTTTCCATGTAATTAATAACAATTTTAATAATAATAATAATAATTATTTTTATTAAAATAATTTTCTGATCCCTGGTTAGCTTTTTTTCTTATCATGATTTTCGTGCATAGAATAAAAACTAGGTGTGATTTTGGGATGTGATGATAATGATACATTTCGTTAGTGTCGTGCACGTCGTGCTGCAAGAAATTTACTGTCGAATCAAGGTAACATTGTCGAACAGTTTCACGAGTCAAACCAAATTTCAACAACCTTTCGTTGTTGCAGCACTGTCTTATTATTCATTTCGAAATGGCTTAAATTGTAAGTTTTATCAAAACGGCTCCATATTAGGAGATACTTTTTTAACGAAATGAAAAAAATGTTTAATGCTCATTAATTCCACAAAACCTTGTATACCTTAATTGGTTACTTATTCCATCCAAACGTATAGTCTTTCGAATCAATTGAACACTTAACCATTGATCAACGTGGAATTTCGAGTAAAAAGTACGTTCCTTCTGACTTGGTTTTCATTAAAATGAATTTAGCGAGGTAACACTCGCGGCATCGGTCAAAGCTATAATTAAAACTTTGTGCCACATGCCCAACCTCATGATTAATTTCTCAACAAAATAATTACAATTAAGTCACAAAGTCAAGACACACGAGTGTTCTTTTTTTCGATTGATCCTCAGAGGTAATTACACGCTTGCACTGTACAGCGTTTAAAATCCGAAGATATTGCGCGCACGTGTCCTTAATTTCAAAACTATCAAGACTAGGGTACAACAATTTCGCGAACCGGACAAACCACTCGCTCGCGCAATCCTCGACCGCTCTCTCTCTCTCCCAGTCCGCGTATACGAAGACGTAATATATACCTCCGTACAATCGAAAACGCCGTGAGCCTGTAATATTGTGATACACGCGCACATACGTGTGTGTGGCGACATATAATCGAGGTTGTCCTTTTCGGCATATCAAATTCGAAATCGAGCCGCTTAGGTATGGCTTTGCTGCGTGGAATTTTCGAAAGAACCACCTGCCGAGTGTCTTTTTTTCCATACGACTCGCGCACGTGTAACGCACGAAATAATATGCGCGTATAAGATTTCAGATGTATATCATTGCTACTGAGTTTGGTTAAAAGTTTTACGCAACTGTGAGGAAATACGATTATGGTCGTCAGCTCCGTAGTTATACACGGGATATGCATAAAAGAGCGAGTTTGCCTTTCACGTGTCTTGAATTTTTAAATAATTTAAATGATGTTGCGCATCTTACAACTAATTGAAAAATAAAACCATGCGAATACACTGAAGAGTAGAGGGGATGGAAAAAAAAATTTTTTTAATGAAAGAAGATAAAAATTTCTTTGGCCAATCTACAATTTTTAATGAGATAAATAAGCAAGCTTCACTAGTTTTTTGCGATAATTTTAGTTTTTTCTTCTATCAGAGGCTAGTCATAGCTACAATCTCATACTAATGATTCCATTTACGTTTTTGGAATTCCGTATCCCATAAGGTGTTAACCTGTTCACACTCCATTGACTTGATGTACATAATTAAAGTTCAAGTCAGCCACGTTTCTGTCATGAATGAATTCCATACCAGACCTCACATAATCCTCAACTGGTAGTTCATTGATGTGTTGTACATATACCATCCGAAAGCTCAAGGTTTGATTATTCCGAAACCCGTTTTGCTTAGCATAATATCGATTAAAACACTAATCTGGTCGCCAATCCTCATTTCGGACAAAAATTTTGGGCATTTCCCACTTTACCTAGAGATATGGTCATAATTTAATCGCAGCCTACTGGCAACTATCTGATGGTCGGCTACCGATGGAAAAATAAAAAAATCACAGAAGCGTTGCGAGCGATAACGGTCGTGACGTACGTTTAACGAGGGCAGATAAATTTTCGTTTGATTTGTACTTTTTCACCACCTCTTGGTTTGACATCTGGGTTAAATATTTTCCATAGGTATACCGTTTGAAGGCTTACGCGTAAATATATATGTATATATCTAGAACACGTCACGTTTCAAAAAGTCGTCTTATTACAATGAAGAGAGCTAACTGTAGTTTTACTGTTTCAATCGGCACAAATGAGAAGGTGCGTGGATTATCTTTTCCATGCCAGTATCGAGCGTTACTTTATTTTTTCATATTAGCCGTGAGGTGAAATAATACGTGCATATACTTGGTACTTGAAAAATATTTTTATTAAAAATCATTTCCACAGAGTATTGCATGTGCTTATATTGAATAAACCGATGTGATAGAAACTACTGTACGAAAGATTTATGAAAAGAAAAATAACTTTAATTCATAAAGTAAATCGCTGTCAAGATTATTGCTGAGATGTATGGTTTTTCAAAATGCATCTGAGTCTATGTACAACAAAGGGAAATTTCAAGATACATATCTCCAAAGTCTTGTCGAAAATACTTACAACAGAATATTCTTTCAGCCATCACAACATACATACGTTACAATGCTTCTTTTTCTTGAACTTTATGGGCACAATCTGAACCTTATTCTCAAATCTCTAGATATTGCGAGCAACAATATTAATAGCAGTGCAAGCAAAAATTGACCTTTTTTTTGAAGCTTACAAGTTACCACTGTGTACCTAAAGAGAAATCCAATCCATGCGAGGCGAGCTATTTCACAACTGCGTTTTATTATAAACAAGTGTTGTATAAATTGCACTTACAATGCCATACAGCCCAGCAAAATGTCGCTACTAAAAAAAAAATTCGTAGAAAGAAAAAATTCAATAAGAAACACGCTAAACTGCTCGTAGACATAGGTAAAGGAATACAATAAGTAGCATTAGGTATATACAAGAGAGTAGCATACGAGGGAGCTGTGGAATGAAATGAAGGCGAGGCTCGCGTGTACGTATATAATAATGTAATATATGAAATGGGTGAGCGCAAGTATGCCCATACTTGCTCGTTAAGACGCCCTTCATTGTGCGTGCCCAAGGGGGGAGGTGCTTGTTTATGATAGCATTGAAGTTTATATGAGTATGTGTGTACATGGGCAGCAATGAACGTGCATTACTATGTATATTGCATACGTCACTTCCGCAGGTGCAGTATATATATACTTAGTTTCGTGTGTTGAAGCTGTTGTAAGCGAAAAAAATATTCGCAGACGATTGAAGTTGTCCATGTTTATGGAAGTAGTTCAACTTGCAAACGGATATATAGGGATGATTAAGTGACATACATCGCTGAACACTTTAAATAGTGTCAAACACACTAATATTATGAATATTAAGCTGGAATCAAAATTCTTTGCTAGATAAATTGAATAGATCTTGCACAGAAAATTTTTAGTAGATATTTATTACAAGTGGCTTGTATAATTTTATGATTCACGGATGTATGAATAACAGTAAAAATGGATCACCAGTGCACAGTTATTCATGATTTTTAAATAATAATAAATCAAATTGTAAAGATGATGTAAATGAGTTGAATATGAAAATAATTTTGTTTTTTATTTTTCTGTCAGAAAAATGTATGAATATTTTAGATACTTTTGAGCAAAAATTTAATCAAACGACTCAATTCAGAGGATACCACAAATAATATTTTTTATCTTTGATTATACATTATATCTTAAAGACACTCACTTTTGGTCACTAAACTTTACTATGCATACGTTTTTTAGTGTCATATAAGCAAGTCCAAATAAGACCTCCTCGGGCAGTTAGACTTTTATCACCGGTGCCAAATAATTTTTTATCGATATAAAATTTTTTTAATTGTTCCTTGGCCAATAAAGTTGAAATGGATTCCAGTTAGCACTATAGAAAAATATACGTCTCTGTCATGAAGAAAATACTAGAAAGAAGACTCAACAAAAATAATCATTGATTGTTTTCATAAAAACGAATTTTCAAGTTAAAATATACCACTATTTAGTATAAAAAATGCCCAAAACACGGTAGTAGTGTCCAGTAAGATAAAATTCCAAGCACATTCATAAAAAAGGACGTCACATATTACGTTTCTTAAATACAGATAAAGTAACTTTATGACAGTCAATACTGTTGTACCCATCAATTTGACATTATAATTTGAAATAGGCATTATTATCAATAATTGCAAAAGCATATACATAACAGTTAATTGGTGGTTATATCTGCGACGATCAGTGGTCTCCTAAACGAAACTGAAACCAGCCTGACGAAACATCGCTCAAGTAATGACTTTCAAAATTCCAGTGGCAAAGGTTGTGAATCATACACCCGTAGAAAAAAATCGAAAGCCAAGTCTTCCTGTATGAAGAAACTCTTCTAATTTCTCACGTTTACGAGCACAAAGTGTATAATCAAGAGGTACGCATTTAATGCGTTGTCGTTAAAAATAAAAAAAAATTCTTACGACAGCCATAGTCTGAAGTGTTTATGTACACGTATGTATGTAATAAGATTTTTATAAACCAATTGTATATCCTTGATTAGATTTATTCAATGTTGAGGGCGATTTCAAGGCCTATACAAGCGTTCCAAGCTTCCACAGATAGGTACAATGTAACTATACAAGAATATAACTGTATACAAGAATATTACTTTTGCACGTATGCATATACACGGGTGTTTGGGCAAGGCACTGTGATAATGGGTATCAGGTAAACATCACTTGACCACTTACTGTCTAACTGTTCTCACGCTCTATTTAAGTAAGCTTGTATACTGTACTATTAGGTGTATGAGTTTTCCTTATGTTATGCTCCTTACTGCTGGAAACTCATGGCCTCAACTCCAGTGCGGTGGAAAGACCGTACCGCTTCTTCCATCGGCAGCTGCTACAACGTCTGACCATTCAGGCATGTAGGTTGTCCTGTTGACTCGAACAACAGCAGTCGCAAAATAAAAAGTTCTGAAATTTTTTAAATAAAGGTATACAACGAGATACGGTATGAGAGGTGTGAATGAAAAATCTCTGGCCCATAAATTTTGAAGAGAATAATAGGTGCAATAAAGAAAAACACAAATGCTAGTGATGAAAAAAAACTCAAGGGTGGCCGGGCGAATAAAAATTTAAATAAGAATCGTCACAAAAAGTATAGAAATAATCTTCAAAACAGAGGTAGGAAGTATGAGCAAAATTTTCAAGGCACATATGTTTTGATACAAAAATATAAAAGGGTACAAAGGGTTTAAAATTAGAAGTATACATGAAGACAGAAATGTACTGCAGAGGTGAAAAAAAAAACTATTCGATTAATTCTTTTACTATCATATAATGTATATTTTTTCCCATGCAATAGAACATGTATATGTTGATTGAAAAGATAGCTCCGAGGCAATGCATGTCAACCCACACTTGTTTTTTTTTTATTTTATTTTATTTTTTCACAACACGTATACACGCTAGAGCCAATTAGGTTTGATCTCGTAACATTAATTACGAACTTTATCGAGTGCTATAAAATTGTAATTTAAAATGACGTTGTCGCTGTTCCACTTAAATCAGCAAATCGATATTTTATGCACATTGCGATTACATAAACAACAAAATATTTACAATTGGAATTGTAATTGATTACACTCGGACGATCGACACATGGAACCGATAAACAAATAATTTCTCTAGGTCTGCCTCACAATGTCAGAATCCACGCAATTTCATACTAAACCCTACCACCGGCCATACCAAAATTAGTATCTCATTAATCGATATTTCTCCAACAGCGTTTTCATCCCCAAGTCGACGGGATCCAGCAAACCTCATCAGGAATGTATATCAGCGTACACTCCAAGCGAACAGGAGCTCGCGCCAACTCAACGATAGAACAGCTTCCAACGGGAATTTGAGCTCCATTTCTTTCTCAATCCATTTGGGAGTTCAACGCAGCACTATTGGACGTATTAGCAGCAGACATAGAGCATCGAGTGGCCAAGCAGCATCCGAATGGATGCGCTGGTGAGGATGAGCGCACCGCCGGCACTGAGCCTCGGGCACCACCAGAGCCCCGGGGCCCGGCACTCGCAGACAGTCTCGGTCTGCTCTCCTCCCACCCCGAGCACCGCTATGGCAGCGGTAGATGCAAGCGGCGTTAGCTGCTCCTCTTCTCCCCCCCGCAAGGAGAGCAGCACCGCTGGAGCAACGGTATTTGTCGCCGCCGCTGTCGCAACTGTCGCTGCCGTGGCGGCTCCCCCGAGCACCTGCAGCATCACCACCACCAGAGTCCCGGAAGTGCCTCCGCAACAGCAGCAGTTCCCACAGCAGAGCAGACCTGCCGGCCACGTAGTCAAGATACAGATAAACCCCGAGGGCTGCGAGCCCGGCAGGCCCACCGCCAGGCTCGTCTCCGCGGTCAGGCTCAACCTCGAGGAGCCCGAGACCAGCGTCAACATCATCGATAACCACAAAGAAGCACCCATTGCTATCAAAGATCTAGATAATAGCAGCGACAACAACAACAACAGCGGGGCCAGTGGCATCTTCAAGGCCAGGCTGGTCAACACCGGCGAGCCCTGCGTGAGGATCAGCGTCAAGGGTGGCGATTGCTCAGGCAGAGAGTCCTCATCGTCCTCCTCGGCTTCGTCAACCTCCTCGTCGTCGGAGGAGCTGGTGCATCCCACTGCTCACCCGGACATGGTTCAGCAGCCGCTCCAGCACGAGCAGTCGCGTTGCACCGGAGTCGTCGTCAACGGCGGGGGCACGAGCAACGGTGCTGGCTCGGGGGGCTTTTACTACGGCACTCCTCTGATGGGCATCAACGGGGTGGCAACCGTGCTCATGGCGAGCGGACAGTGCTCGCCCTCCGAGACCCTCGACAGTGGCACTTGCAGCGACCTCGACGGTACCCCGCCACCCCTGCCCAAAAAGAAGGCCTCCAACAACCTCGATTCCGGGAAAATCGGGCCCAACGCCGCACCGAGCAACAAGCGCCATTACCACCACCACCACCAGAGAGCCGGTAGCCTGACGAGCAGTGGGGCAGAGTTGGACAGCGACGACAACGAGAGCAGCATAAGCTGCGACAGCCTCAACAGCGCCGATATGGCCATCATGGGGTTGGTCGCGGACCCGGCGAGCGAGCTCGCGAAGCAGCTACCCCGGCAGCTCGAGGAGCTCGCGGGTGAGGGGTCGGGCTGTCGGGAGGAGGGCAGTGGAAGCGAGGGCTCGCCACCCGCCTCGGGCAACTCGACGCTGTCCAAGGCGTCGTCGTCGACGCCGAGGGTGCGCAGTCCCGAGGTCCGGGCCTACTCGAGTTGTTCGTCGACGGGCTCGGCGGCCCTGCTGGTCAACGAGTCCACGTACGAGGAGCGTCGGCTCGAGCAGCGGGCAGTCAACGGGAGTGCGGTCGGGTCGGTAAAGTACGCTTACGAGGACGACCGGTTCTACAAGTTTCACGTGAACGAGCGCGAGGAAGTGCTCAAGGCGAGGAACAAGAGCGAGCTTGGCCGTGGTGACGACGGGGATGACGAGAGCTTCGCCGGTTGCAAGATCCCCACCCTCGACAGGGAAGCCATTCGCAGTGCCAAGGGGACCGTCAGGGGAGTGAGGAACCGCGTCAGGGCGGGCATCGCCACCTTCCTCCAGAAACCCTCGGCCAAGGTGAGTTTCTTTTTACTTTTTTTTTCTCTCTCTCTCTACGACGTTTTTCGGGAAAAAATTTGATTCTATCGATTCTTCATCTTCAATTGACTGGCAAGCTTATATCGTGAAGAATTCGACGTATACGGAAAAAATTTACCATCACTTGCGGTATCCACGATTATAATTGCGCTTGAAAATATCTCGAATACCTGCATAAGCCCATAGCGATCTTATAATTACGTAGGTGCACTCGAAAAGCAATCCTTATTTTACTTGTTTGAACTAAAAGTATCTTCTCTGCGACGACGTATATTTACGGAACGATTAGGCCTGTCTCAGAATTGTCGCACATGTTGTAAGTATATACAGTTTGAAAAATGCCCTCGAGAAGCCCCATGACAAACGACCCACCGTTAAAGCAACAAATGGGCTCCATCGGGAGTACCAGGAGTGAATAATTGCAATAAACACAGAGCCGGGCTCGCTGATCTTAAAAAAAAAATAAAAAAAAACAAAAACCGATCTTCCCCGCAGAGCGCCATTAGGTCTCCAAGCTCCGTTAAATTACAGTATACGCGTGTACACCTAATGGTCCAATGTCCTCCCTCCCAGCGCGCTAAGCGCTCGACCTTCCAGACGGAATTGTGTTTACTATCATTATTCGCTTCTATGTGTGTACATCGACGGGTGTATAATCTCCCCGGGCGTTGCACGTGTGGTCCTGGGCATTGAGTATCCGGATCTTTCCGTACGCACACTCCCTGTAATCTCGCGTGGGTGAATTATGCGGACAGACGCGCATCTATCATTTCCCGCGCGGACAGCACGGAGGTACAACAGGTGTGTGATGCACTCCCATTTCATTGTTTCGGCTGGGCGCTTGTTTGCGCTGTAGCCTGTAGAGAGGCGTGTTTTTATTTGGTGGGTGTATACACCCTCCGATTTTCGGGTTGATCGTTGAAATTTTCGTAATCGTGGGCTGGAAACGAGACTTGGATTGATTGTGAAAATCACTGGGTCGGCGAAAGGAAAAAAATTTTGAACCGTTCCTCCATCCATCGATGCAAATTGTGCGATTTCGCGGGGCAATGGTTATTCAGTGGTTGACGTATAAATGACGTAAATTTCGAAAAACCAACAACGATGTTACATCATGGGGCACTTGGTACTCCAGTAGGTGTAATCCAAAGTCTAACTGTACGAACAATGAGGAGAATAAACTCGGTGTTCCATGCTACGCACACCTCCATAATGTACGAGTTCTCCGAAAAAAAACAATTTTCACGCGCCCATAAGCATCGCGGGTATAATTACCGTGCACGAGATTTACGCGTGTGGCGAAAAAACTGACTAGTTTATGATTTAATAAGGCGTACGGTACGGAAATTTTGCTGGATTCTATTCGGAGCTTTCATGGTCCAAGCTCACCTTAGCAAATACGAAAAGTCAACGTTTCCACTAATTAACGTAATAGGGGTTGGTTGGAGAAGACACGGTAGTTTTTCGGTGAAAAAGTGACACCTCTGTCTGCACACTCCAAATACTGGAGCTATATGCAGTCGACACAATTTTCTATGCACTCGCGCCCTTATTATTTATTCAGATAACAGTGGGGATGGCGTACAAGAGTAAAAAATTAGACGCAGCTGCGTGGTTTTACAGCACCAGATGATCTGCTTAACGTAACAAGTATACATGAAGGAGCGCGTGGTGGCTCAGTCGGTTAGGTCGTGGATTGGCACGCGGGAGACCGTGATTGTTCACATGTGCTTTTTCACCACGCAATGCTCCTGAAGGAGGTTTTAGGCGACCTCCTCGCAGCATAATTGCCTAATTTCCCCCTACCCCCTCCCAGTAATGGGAGGCTTCCCATCCCTTTCCTTATCCTTTTCCCAAGTGCTAAGTGTCCATAGTAGTGCCCTTATTAAAGGAGCCGAACGTAGAGCACAATAATATGAAAAAAAAAAAAAAAGTATACATGAAACCATCGTTACTTCGTCATTATACGAAAGGGAGAGAGAGCGAGAGGCACGAGAAAGGTAAGCGATGATAAAAAGAAAGGCGACGGGTTTAATTGAGAATCAGCTCACAGTCGCGTCCCGCGTAAACACGTAAACTGTAACCCATGTGAACACGTGCAGGTGGCGCGGTATAGTTCCAATTTTTGCTTCCGTCCCCGGCTCCGTTGCTACGAATCTAACGGATCCATCGTTATTCAACCTTTGGAATTATTCTGAAAATATCCATACAGAGCAAAAGCATTGCGCGTAAGAGCATACACATTTTTAATGGCCCGTTACGCACCTGCGTGTATACGTGGAGTGAAAGAACAGATTGCGCGTGTGGCGGCCTTCGTGTGCTTGTATTGCCATTAACAGCGTTGCTTTTGCTCAACTAACGTGCAGGTAACTACGCACCTGAGGGCAGAAAGCCGCGGCTTTTTTTCCGCGACACTATACATTTACGATTCGCCGTACAACGACACTTTGATTTGTCATCTTTATATTTTTGGTGGTGATTATTATGTGTGTAGTTTCAATCACAGCCGCATCGGAATCACGTGATTTTCAAGAGGCGAGCGGTAACGTCGCAATCCTATAAAGTGAAAGATAAGACCAGCGCGCAAAAACAGACAGTCTCCCTGTGGCGTCATTTCGCACAATGTATAGCTGTCTTGGTGCTCACACGATGTTGTTACCAGGAAGCTGTTCTTACGAGGATGAAGGACGAGGAGTGTACAATTAATCCCACCGCAGAGCCCTCAGGCACGCCACTAGTAATTGGTGAACTGCAAAGCCTGAGTCTTCTTCACACTTACGTTGCATCGGATGCGTGTACTTACGGACTTGTCGTACGTCGATGATTTCGTTTTATTTTTCACGATTGCTTTGTCATCGGCAAATTTCTTTCCGTTTCCTCACTACACGTGTGCATGTGTCTCTTCGGCCGACCAGTTATCTCTCTTACCAGATGCGGGGCTCTCTATAGTTGGAGCTGTTTTTTTTTGTTTTATTCAGATGTTTTTCGATGCATCTTGCAACCATTTATTTTCTTCCATCGCTTGGTCCCTCCATTTGAAAGCATATGTGCTGTTACGTCGTACATACAAGAGTGGATTATAGAAGTAGAGTAAGTCGAGTTCAGTAAGACGTGGCTGATCATTCATGCATGACAATGCTCGCACACATCTCAAGCAGCAAACAATACATTTTATATTTACAAATAAAATAGCTGACTCTGGTTATGTTGTTGTATGTACACTCAAAGTTTAGCCAATCTTGAAAGGTTCGGAAGGGCCCTTACAAAGTTCAGGGGACGAATTTACAAGATACAACGATGCGAGTGCATCTTTTTCGTCGTCGTAGTTGCGGCAGTCTTGTTTGCGAATGACTCGGGAGGTATTTGCATTGATGCCCACATGGGAGATTTTTCAATCACCACGAGGAAAAAAAATTTCTAGCCCACAAGAATTGCAAGGGAAAAGCACATAAAGTTTAAAGTCGTTACTTTGGATGTTGTCGTTGCCGGTGCGCATCGAAACACTCTGTCTCAAATACATCCCGTCGTGGCAACGGCGCGCAAACAGTCAAGAAAGCTGCAGGGGTCACTTGCTCGTCTGCTTTTTCCGCGTCGTCGTCGTCGTCGGTAAAGGTGACGGTGACTCGCGAAAGATGCACATGTACACGTAACGGTGATGGAACAGCAGTCGCGACATGCGAGTCTCGCAGTATCTTTTTCTTCTTCTTCTCCCACATCTCGTCAATGCCAGTGCATCCTCCTTATCTATTGGACCGAGGGAGTTGAGAGATACTTTAGTGCTACATTCGTTCTTGCAAAGTGGCGCCTGCAGGGCCGGTTCGGCGATTTTTGTGTTTTTCGAGCGTGAAAAATGGTATATCCTTGTCGCGAATCGGTACGCGTGCCTTTTCCTCTTGGATTTTAATAGTACAGACAATTAAATTACGAAGAGGAGAGAACTAGAGTACGCGTCAGTTTTGCTCGAAATAATACATTCGTTTGAGCTACTGTACTTGTTGTCACGCTGTATTATTTGAGATAACAGTAAAGTTGTCGAGTGAATCGTTGGATACGAAACACACGCGAGTCGGAAAGACCCAAGTTGGAGTTTGAAGGAATAACGCTAAAACTTGATTAAATTGGCTGCAGGTTGGGTGTTAGTTTTTTTTTTTTTTTTTTTTTTTTTTTTTTTTTTTTTTTTTTTTTTTTTTTTTTTTT